TGTTATTTCTTATTTTCTTATTTGAACTGTTATTTCTTATTTTCTTATTTGAATTGTTATTTCTTATTTTCTTATTTGAATTGTTATTTCTCTACTTTATTTTATTTAACTTTAAGAGACCTAAAATTGTGTTAAAGGGACTGTTCTCCTATTACTCCTATACCTCCACTTTTGGATTAGGAATACATCTACTTCTCTGGGATTAAATTAAATAATCTGTCATAAAGCTTTAAAAAGTTTTTTTATGTTTTCCCGGAAAAAAATTTACCGATGAAACATTTATTATTTGTGATATATATAAAAATATATTTATATTTACAATATGAACAAAAATATTCTTAGACCTGTAACAAACCTAGGAGCAGCTGTATATTTGTCTATCTACCGTAAGCTATGATTTTATTTTTGTAACCTGACCGGCCCCACCGGTCTATCTATTTACCTGTTATCAATAAATTAGTTCAGTACGGATGGAATTAGCCTGGGTAGGCTGTTAGTTAGATATAGTGGCTGTTTAGCTGAAAGGACAGTCAGGGTTGACTGAGGAATTAGAGTTTGAGACAGTTTAGAACTAAAGTTTATCGGGCTAGATCGTTACAGACCTTTGCTCCTTCTTTTGAAAACTGAAATAGAATTAAAAGAGCTGGAAACTTTTGTGTTGTATACCCATATAATCCCGATGGCTTGATCTCGATATCCACAGTGAGCACTTTTGAATTTTACACATAATCTGCTTGATCTCTTGATTTTGAAATCCGCAATTTCTCTGTTCTCTCATTGAGATTCCCTGGCTGCTGATTGGCTGTTCGATTTACACTGACGAAAGTCTTCATGGGATATCGACTAGGTTTAAATTAATCTGTAGTTTAATAAAGATTTAGATATCCACCAAAAGTTCCTCAGATATCCCCCCCCCCCATATATAGAGTGTTATAGACTGAATTTGTGAAAGGAAGCCATGATAAGAGATATATATAGGTTAATTACAAGAATGACGGGGTAGGATACTATACTAGCTTTATCTGACTAATAATATGATATATTATATACCAGCTCAAGTACCTGGCGTTGTCCGTGCCTAAATACCATCAGTTTGGACCGTTGACAGTGCACATAAGTCTTTAGTTTGGGGCATTTTGTTAGAACATGAGAAAAAGTTTTCATGTGTTAAAGGGACTGTATGCGTAATTTCAAGTGACTCTCCATACAAAAAAGACAATATTACAACGGTCCCCTTATAACCTAAATCTGATCAATATTGTGGAGAATACTGTCGTTTTTTTTACTCTTAAAGTGTTTATTTCTGTGATTTTCTCTTTCCTTTGCATTGAGTGTCACTTGAAATTACACTCACAGTCCCTTTAAAACAAAATTTTAGATAATTCTCATAATAATTAATCTGAACTCTGCGTTTTGGTTTTCTGACATATTCCTAACAATATTTGTAGTAAATGCCCTGCTCCTAAAACCGCTCTCAGACCCGTATCAATCCAGGTACAACTCGTCAGCTATAAATATCAACCCTAGATAAATAATTTATCTAGGATGTCAACACAGATTGCCAAACCACTGGGCACGATCTTTAGTTACCAATGTTAAACCAGACACGATCTCGTCAACTCGTTTGTTAAAACAAGGCTACACCATAATCAAAGCGGAGTCTATTCCAACTGATTTATATTTAGATATCTATGTTACAGGTCTAATGTAAGTATTCACAAGATCAGCGCGGATATATATAAGCGTAGTTAAGCCAGTCACTGACGTAGTTATATTTTGATCACAATACAGGTTTTGACTTATTTACAGACGTAGCTAGGCTAAGTTAATCGCATTACAAGTTTTGCGTAGTTAACGATAAGCGCATTTAGATTTACAGACAATGTACAACGTAATATTGCTGTATTACATATTTTCTTAATTCCCATGACAGCATATTCGTATCATTTAGAAATTCTTTCGTTTCCTCGATATGACGAACAAAATGTGCCAAGTTCCTGGCAGAAATGTTATAAAATTGACAATTCATAAATCTTTTGCTTTTATAAATTGGTTGAAATTGAGCAATTTATATAAACACCAGTGTTATATAATGAGAAACTGATTAAACCCAGACAACGGAAATATTAACTTTTATGAACAAAATTAATCAAATATCAACTTTAGGTTAAAGGGACTCTAATTTCAAGTGATCCTTCGAATTTAATGTGGCATGGCTGATTTTACAAAGATAACCTTTCAAACTCTTTTCTATTCAAGAATAAATGAGATATACTTTTTATCTTGATGCAAAGACATCGAATCTTTTCCACAAACTCAGATTTTCTAATCACTATATCTTCTTTAGATTACAATGTCGTAGACCTTTGACATTTCAAACTATGACTTTTGATTGATCAAATAGTAAAAAGTTCACTCCTGTACGCCGGGTCCATTAGCGCCTGATCCAAACAGGGTTCAGTCATGTGGTTGTTGTCTATTCTGAACCAATAGAAATAGTATGGCGGTAACATCTATCTTTTTATCTATCTCATCATCCAATTAGAGATATGAATCCTTCAAGCGGCGCTATCAGTATATGGAAATATTTGCTTCTATTTAAACTGTATAAGTGGGTTTGAAATATCAAAGGTTTACGCCATTGGGTTCTAAAGAGATAGAGATTAGAAAATCAGAGTTTTTGTCAAAGACTCATTTCCTTTATAATTTTCAGTAGAGGTTTCCTATAAGAGGGACTAAACGATTTAATTTAGGAAACTGTCAGAATTTAACATTTTACAAATAGATTAAACAAGGATAGATATTTCATATTTTTGCTAAAATAAAGTTTCAAGGGGTTACCGTTGTCAATAGGGCACAAAACTCTTTAATGGGATGTCACTTTATTACTTATCACTACCAATTAAGTCAAAATTTCTGATGATCTAAATGATCTTTCTCAAAAATAAAGTGAATCATTTACGTATTTGGTGGTTTAGTTTCTGTAAAATAATAGTTTAAAAATTTAATTTAATTTGCCAATTTAAACCAATTATTAACATATATAAACTGTTAATTAGGAGAAAATCAAATGTTTTGCAATTCCAACAGATAAGGGCTCATTGTGGACAACCAGTTAAATATATAAATTTTTTAAGTCAGGGTTAATCTACTGGGGATTGCCGCAAGGTATGAAACATCATGTAAAGTAAAATCCTTAAATACATCAAAATGTATAAATTCAAATTTGATTCTTTAAATATATATATATATATATATATATATATATGTACATGTGTATATAGATAATGTATAACAGGACTGCAGATTGCAGAAAAACTGCCGGGGGCAAGTTCTGGAGAGGTTGCGAGAATTATGAAATAAAAATACGAAACTTACAGATAAAAATAATGGGGTAGGTTTCATGTATCCTGGAGAAGGTTCCATGTATCCTGGAGTAGGTTCCTTGTCTCCTGGAGTAGGATCTTTGTTTACTGGAATAGGTTCCCTGTATCATGGAGTAGGTTCCCTGTATCATGGAGTATGTTCCCTGTATCCTGGAGTAGGTTCTCTGTGTCCTGGAATAGGTTCCATGTATCCTGGCGCATATTCCTTGTATTCTGGAGTAGGTTCCCAGTATCCTGGAGTAGGTTTCCTGTTTCCTGGAGTAGGTTCATTGTATCCTAAAGTAGGTTCCTGTATCCTGGAGGAAGTTCTCTGTATCCTGTAATAGATTCCCTGAATCCTTGAGTAGGTTCCCTGTATCCTGGAGTAGGTTCCCTGTATCCTGGAATAGCTTACCTTTATCCTGGACTAGGTTCCCTGTATCCTGGAATAGTTTCCCAGTATCCTGGAGTAGGTTCCCTGTATCCTGAAGTAGGTTCCCTGTATCCTGAAGTAGGTTCCCTGTAACCTGGAGTAGGTTCCTTGTATCCTTGAGTAGGTTCCTTGTATTCTGGAGTAAGTTCCCTGTATCCTGGAATAGGTTCTCTGTATCCTGGCGTATGTTCCTTGTATCCTGAAGTAGGTTCCTTGTATCCTGGAGTAGGTTCCTTGTTTCCTTGAGTAGATTCCCTGTATTCTGGAGTAGGTTCTCTGGCTGTATCCTGGCGTATGTTCCTTGTATTCTTAAGTAGGTTCACTGTATCCTGGAATAGTTACCCTCTATTCTGGAGTAACTTCCCAGTGTACTGGAGTAGGTTCCTTGTATCCTTGAGTAGGTTCCCTGCATTCTGGAGTAGGTTTTCTGTATCCTGGAGTAGGTTCCGTCTATTCTGGAGTGGATCCCTGTACTTTGGAGTAACTTCCTAGTGTCCTGGAGTAGGTTTGCTGTATCTTGGAGTAGGTACCTTGTATCCTGGAGTAGGTTCCTTGTATTCTGGAGTAGGTTCCCATTTTCTCGGAGTAGGTTCCCTGTATCATGGCATAGGTTCCCTAAATCCTTGAGTAGGTTCCCTGTACCCTGGAGTAGGTTCCCTGTATCCTTGAATTGATTCCCTGAATCCTGGCGTATGTTCCTTGTATTCTGGAAGTAGATTCCCTGTATCCTGGAATAGTTTCCCTGTATCCTTGAGTAGGTTCTTTGTATTCTGGAGTTGGTTCCCTGTATCTTGGAATAGGTTCCTTGTATCCTGGCGTATGTTCCTTGTATCCTGAGGTAGGTTCTTTGTATATTAGAGTAGGTTCCTTGTATGCTTGAGAAGATTCCCTGTATTCTGGAGTAGGTTCTCTGTATCCTGAAGTAGGTTCCTTGTATCCTGGAGTAGGATTCCTTGATCCTGCAGTAGTTTCCCTGTGTTCTGGAATAGGTTCCCTGTATCCTGGCGTATGTTCCTTGTATTCTTAAGTAGGTTCACTGTATCCTGGAATAGTTTCCCTCTAGTCTGGAGTAGGTTCCCTGTATTCTGGAGTAGGTTCCCTGTATTCTGGAGTAACTTCCCAGTGTCCTGGAGTAGGTTCCTTGTATCCATGAGTAAGTTCCCTCTAATCTGGAGTAGGTTCCCTGTATTCTGGAGTAACTTCCCAGTGTCCTGCAGTAGGTTTGCTGTATCTTGGAGTAGGTACCTTGTACCCTGGAGTAGGTTCCTTGTATTCTGGAGTAGGTTCCCATGATCTTGGATTAGGTTCCCTGAATCATGGCATAGGTTCCCTCAATCCTTGAGTAGGTTCCCTGTACCCTGGAGTAGGTTCCCTGTATCCTTGAATTGATTCCCTGAATCCTGGAGTAGGTTTCTTGTATTCCGGAGTAGGTTCCCTGTATCCTGGAGTAGGTTCCTGTATTCCAGAGTAGGTTCTCTGTATCTTGGAGTAGGTTCCCTGTATACTAGAGAAGGTTCTCTGTATCCTGGAGTAGGTTTCCTGTATCCTGGAGAAGATCCTAAAGTAGGCTGCCTGTATCTTGGAGTAAGTTCCCTGTATTCTAGTGTTGGTTTCCCGAATTCAGGAGTAGGTTCCCTGTATCCTGGAGTAGGTTCCTGTATTTTGGATTTGATTCTCTGTATCCTGGAGTAGGTTCCCTGCATCCAGTGTAGGTTCCATGTATCCTGGAGTAGGTTCCCTGTATTCTGGAGACGGTTCCCTGCATCCTGGAGTAGGTTCTCTGTATCTTGGAGTAAGTTCCCTATATTCTAGAGTAGGTTCCCGTATTCTGAAGTAGGTTCCCTGTATTCTGGAGTGGGTTCCCTATATCCTTGAGTAGGTTCCCTGTATCCTAAAGTAGGTTCTCTGTATCCTGGAGTAGGTTCCCTATATTCTAGAGTAGGTTCCCGTATTCTGAAGTAGGTTCCCTGTATTCTGGAGTGGGTTCCCTATATCCTTGAGTAGGTTCCCTGTATCCTAAAGTAGGTTCTCTGTATCCTGGAGTAGGTTCCCTGTATTCTGAAGTAGGTTTCTTATATTCTGGAGTAGGTTCTTTGTATCCTGGTGTAGGTTCCCTGTATCCTAGAATTGGTTCCCTGTATCCTGGAAAAGATTCTCCATATCCTGGAGTAGGTTCCCTGTATTTTCCTATACCGGATCGAGTAGGTATTGATCCTGGTTCCGTCTAACAGTCCTGATTATTTTAATCCATGTATAGAAATGAACCTGCAATGTCTCCGCTACCAGGATTTATGTTCCTGGGAATCCAACCCAACCTGGTTTCAATAAGTATTTCAACGAGGAAGAATGTTTCTGAAAGGGGAGCATTTAAAAACTTATCTTTAAATCTGCGAACCCCAAACCTGACTACTGGAGGGGGGGGGGGGTTAAGGACTGCAAATGTCCAGTTCTGTAATTTTAATTGATTTCTCGAGTAACCTCCAAATATTTTAACAAATGTAAAGCAGCAGAAAAATTCCTTAAACTTGGGAAATCTGATTTGAAAAAATTGTATATTTTTTACAGGTTCCAGGACGGGTTTATTAACAAGGATTTATATCCCGTGACGCTGTAGACAAGAGTAATTTCTGTTTTATCCGTGAAACCCTGAAACCCTTGCCTTGAATACATTTTTTCTTGGTTATACATTCATCCCTTTCTCTTTCATATAAGGTTATTCACAGAGGAAACAGGGAAACACCAATATTAGGAAACATTAAGTATAAATTTCGTTCAGCCGTTTCATAAGTCTCATCCTTTCTGGGTAAACTAGATGATGTGTCCGGCGTTATCCGGGATATTTTAAGAACTGCCTTCCGTGTCAACCCTTTTATCCCAGGGGATAAAATATAAAATATTCATGTTGACGTTTACACCACGTGCATTCTAATATACAGAGCGTCCCATATCATATTAGATTATCTCCAATCTTTAACGCCAAAATACGCACATAATACTCAAAAATCTAGCATTTTTTGCCTTATAAAATTTTTTAAAATGACTCATTCTTCATAAATTTTCTGATTTATCCCCCAAATTTTAATTTAGACCCATTGACGAGGTCTAATTTAATGTGGGACACCCTGTATAATACATCATTAATCTTCTTATTTTACAATTAGAAACTAGCTTGGAAACCCAGCTTTGCCTTGAAACTTAACTTTCTTTTTCTAATCCCCTTATTTTGGCAACCGGAAGATGTAACCCTTTGATATTTCAAACTTGGATTATTTGATTTACCGTAATTCATAGTTTGAAATATCTAAGGTCTATGACATTGTAATAAAAAGATATAAGGATTAGAAAACCAGAGTTTGTGGTAAAGACTCAATGCCTTTGTCAAGGTGTTTATGAGTTATTACATACATACAAACAAATTGCAAAACAAACATTACTACTTTATATATGCACTATTAGCTTGGGAACCCAGCGCTGCCAAGGTTACTGAAAGTTACTCCTCCTGCCCTGTACCCGCACTTGAATGATTTTACCAGGAAACTAAATTTTCCCTATTAAAGTCAACCTTATACTTAACTTAGAATCTCAAAACCAAGTCTCCCGTGTCTGCAAATAAAAATTTAAGGCAAATCGGTCAAGGGGTTCCTGTGCTATGATCGGACAAACAAACAGACAGACAGACAAACAGAGATTACAACTTTATATATATGTATGAAAAGATATTAGAGGGTATTAGAACTAGGGAAAAGGGGGTAAATTTATTTACATTTTTGTATAATGCGTCATGGAAAACAGCTCTAGAACTTTACTAAGTTTTTAAACTTCTGTTTATAAGAAGCTATTCTTATGAAAACTCATGTTTTGAAATCCATATAACAACGAAGCAAGTTTACTTTCCTCAGAGTTTTGAGTTGTTAAAATTTGACCAGTTAGTCCGTATAAAATTAATTTCTTTCTTATATTGTGATTTGACTAGAGTTTATGTATTCATGGCATGGGCAGTAACTTGATTCGTTTTCTAACAGCTACCCCAAAAATATCTGAGGATTCAACATTTCCAAACTGTATTATGTAAAAGATTGTTTTTTAAACTATGTAAAAGAATTTTTTATAAGAGAAAATATAAGGAAAAACTATCGTTGTAAACAAACGGTTTTGGTTCGTTTTTAATACATCTTTCCACAGGGTTAAATATTGGCGTAGTAAACAAATTTTAGTTCAAACAATTTTGTACGTGGTGAAAAATTTAGATATTTTTGAGAACCTTTTAAAAATGTTGAAAACACGAATCACGTTATGAATTGTTATAGGGTAAAATGAAAATCTTTTTAAATTTAAAAAGTTATAATAATAGTCGTGCAATGAAGACAAAAAAGGTCGGAAACAGTTGCACTTAAAAAAAATACTCAAAAGATAGATTTTTCCAGACAAATCAGCTCATTTGATATGAAAACATGCAATTTTCTTTACTTCCCTTATATTCAATAGAGTGCACGGTGCAACGTGTGTATATAATAAAATGCATGTTTGCATAGACCTCAGCTTGTGAAAGAAAAAGTCCCAAGGTGGAAAAGAGAACTATGAAAGGATTGGACTGGGTTTACCGTGATACTGCAGGATTTTGCAGAAAAACTGCATCCTCAGCTGTAAGCCAAGAATTATGTAAAATAAGGATCCATGCAATTAGAAGAAATGTCAACGTACTTTGAAGTGATCCTTCATTTGTATCGTTATATTCTCGATTCACAACAGTACCTTGAAGCCCTTTATCGGATCAATAGTAAAAATAATATCGTTGTTTTTCTGTTTTTAATAACTATACATCTGCTTGCGGAGTTGCAATTCCGCAACTTCTTGGCAGAAAAATTCGCAATCAATTAGATTGCCTCCCTTGGGTTGCAATCTAATATTGCAATCTAATGTTGCAATGAGGGATTTAATAGTGTCATAATTTTGTTTAAAAGTTAGAAAAAAATATAGATTCGCTGAAAAGGCGAGACGATTTTAAGCAATCGTATATGTATTATATGTTGTTTTAAACCAAATAGCTTCACCTATTTCACCAGTAGCTTGAAGAATAACAGTAAAATGGGTTCAAGCAATCGCTGCTTGAACGTTTAACGGTCGTTTTCCTAGTTCGCAATTTTATGTGTTTCCATGCATTACGATGTTTCAAATAGGCCCAAATAGCATTTTCTTAGTTTAGTGCATGTGTATCCTTAGTTTTTAACATCCTTGGTCCTTGGTTGTAGAATATTGCACTAGATATTGCAGTAGGAAACATTTTGTCAGGAAATTCTTTTTAAGTATAGTTTTGGCTGGGAACCAAATATGAAACAAATGAATGCGAATATTAGTCAGTTTCTTGTTTTGCAAGAAAATATTCTAAAATATTAATATTTTGCATTGTTTACAATAGATATACAAAATACATATTCGCTTAGAAATGTACAAATTCATTTGACAGATATAAGTATTGTTCTTTGCTTGGTTCGAATTAACCCCCCCCCCCTTGTTATAAATCCAACACATTGAATTTCAATACTTACAGTAAGAACCAGAAAACTGTGGAATAAAGGAAGACGACGTTTAAACTCAAATTATGACTTTAGATAGTCCAATGAGCGAACAGAAACAGAAATCGTGCAGGGTTAACAGACACATTTCACTTGATTTGTGATTTAATAAGTGCCTAGTCAAACTAATTGCCTTATAACTACATCAAATACGCTTACGCAATTGCTATAAAGTCGTCTTCCTATTTTGGAGTTTTCTGGTTATGTAGTAACTCAGTAAAGAAGTTATTAGGTTGCAGAGGTTGGATGGGTCCTTAAGGCTTATTGGTTTAAAAATATTTGATTTTGATGATTCCGTTCTGTGTTCCTGCAGGTGCAGAAATGTGCAGTATTATTCTTTGAGATGAGATCTTTGTAAAGTTAAGAAGGGGAGGAAAGGGGGGAATGGATATTAATTGGCTTTCGGAGGTGGGGTGACTTGGTGTGAGGGGGCAGTCAGGGGCGTAAAAAGTGGGATGGGGGAAAGTGTTTAGGTTTCAGCACCGCCCCTGGACAAATTTTTATCTACGCCCCTAGTGATAGTTGCATTATAGCGTTGGGGAGGGGAGGTGACGGGAAAAGGGAGGTTGGGGGGGAAGGTTGGACGGGGGAAAGGTTGGGGTGAGGTGAGGTTGGAGGGGGGGGGGGTAATAGTGGAGAATTAAACATCCGCCCAATTCAAATTACGCGTGCATTGAACTTGGCGATTAGGGAGCATTTAGAGGCTTCCTTAAATTCACCATTTTATATTTAATCTTATAATTTCTTAAATTCACCATTTTATACTTAATCTTATAATTTCTTAAATTCACCATTTTATACTCAATCTTATAATTCCTTAAATTCACCATTTTATACTCAATCTTATAATTCCTTAATTTCGCCATTTTATACTCAATCTTATAATTCCTTAAATTCACCATTTTATACTCAATCTTATAATTCCTTAAATTCACCATTACTCAATCATATAATTCATTAAATTCACCATGCCATGTGCATAACATCTCATAATTCCTTAAATTCACCATTATATACTCAATTTTATAATTCCTTAAATTCACCATTGTATACCTAATATTATAATGGAATGTAAGCAAAGTTACAAGTGACCCTCAATGCTAATATGACAATACCTGATTTACAAGGAT